GCATACCAAGGACCAATCACTGCAGCTTACTGTCAGCGCACTTCCGCTTGAGGTCGGCGTGGGTTTGCGATGCGTAGTCAGGATTATTTGAGGTGTCTGACAGCAGTTGCAGAACCTCTGTGCGGGGGGAGTGGTCGTGCACAGAGACAGATTTGACGGTAGCAGAGGCTATGCGTCAGAAGTATAAATTGGCCTTTAGTCTTCAAAATATGAGTCGTGGCATAATCCTATTTCACCAGACAGTCACAAGTTAACACCAACTAGATGAGGCGTCTGGGGAGAAAGTTTGAGAAACATCTCATGCCACGTGGTCTTGGTACTCTCATATGAATTTCTAAATGTCATCACAGCCATGGTGTCAGACGGGTGGTAATTTGCTGTGTTATTACCAGAGTGATAGCTGATGGCTTTTTTATGTTTGTTAATTATCTGCCTGTCATTAATTAGAACTACATCAGATGGCTTCATTCAGTAAATAAATGCTAATGCGTTCCTGACCTTCTGACTGTATTCCCCAATAAGTGCATCTGTGCCAAAAATAATAAAAACATTAAGAACGGACAGAAATGACTGAGATTGTGTATTCTTGGTGTAGCATGCACACATGCGTTTCCTTTTGACTCATAAAATCACTTTGACTTCAGGGTAGAAAGAGCCCGCTCTACAAAGACATACGCACATCTGTGTTCTGTTTCCTTGCCTCATTTTTTTCTTCTTTTGGCCTCTCATCCTGTTTCTTAACCAAAACTAATCCCGACTAAATTTCAGGATCTGCGTCTGCTTGTCTTTTAACTCCCATCCTCTCCTCCACCCACCCCCTCCTCATCTCCAACCTCCTTGCTTTCTTTCTTTCTTCACTCTCCTGTCATTCTTGAAGTGGCACTAATCCCCCCCCCCCCCCTTCTCTCTGTCTCTTCAACTCTCTTCCCCTTCCCTCTTTTTTATGATCTTTCACTACTGGAGCAAAACTAATCTAGGCCCCATCCATAGAAGTACCTCAGACATCCTCCTCCCTGCCCTCAGACGCTGCCTCGCCACTTTCCTCGTTACACCTTCCCTTTGTTGAACCCCTGTATCCGCCATACAGCATTTCACCAACTCCCTTTACCCCGCTTCTCTCCATCTCTGTCGCACACCGGCTGTGCGGTGAGTCGCGTTGGGATGAGCATAGACGAGGCCGGAGAGAGAAATGTGAAAAAGATGAATGAGAGAGGGGATGAAGGAGAGTTGGAGGCACTGTATTGCAGTCTGTCCACTTGCTGTTGTTGTGTTGTTCCCCTGTGGTAAAAACCCTCGCTTACTCCCTGCTTCCTTCCTGATCTGGATCCCTTTTATCTGACAGGTAGCATGGCAGCAGGGCATGCCATTAGATGCTTGTGTGGCCGTTGGTAATGGCAGCTCCTGTCCTTTAGCTATGTCTCTTATCTAAACTTCAAACCACGCTCCTCCCATCCCTGCACTCTTTTTGTTTTTTTCCCCCCGCCTTCTTCAAAAACCAGCTTGTATGCATTTTCACACGGGGATAGCCCTGTTGTGAGGGATTTAAATTATTTTAGCAATTAGTGTGAAGGTGACAATGAGAAGGTCCGTCAGGTATGTCATTGCTCCAAGGTCAACGAGCTCTAAACAGTCCCCTGATGTTTCATTTAATTACTCTGTGACTTAAATGTTGGACCAGTTTTTTTTTTCCAAAATATTGTACAGCTAACCATTTTAATATTATATGTTAGTTTTTTTGGAGCAGAATATTCTCATGAATCGCATCTAGAAAGCATAGAACTGTCTTAAGTCCTCATTGCATCATGTAAACGTAGCCTTGAATTGCTGTCCTGAAATTTCGGATACCCTGCAGCCTTCTATTGCATCTTCCTCAACCTCGCTTCACCTCCTACTCCATACTTACCTTTTTACACTGCATCTTCTCCTTAAAACCCCCTCCCAGTGTGTTTATCTCTCTCGCTCCTCCGGTTGCTCTGGCTCTCTGCTGCTTCCTCTTTCCTTGCCTTCCCACTGTGAGAAACCATTACAGACCAACTTCCATCTCTCCCTAATTGATTCCCCTTCCCACTTCGTCTCACTTCCCCTTTTTTCTCAGCCATTGTCCCGCTGTGTGCAGTCCATTACATTTATTTCAGTTTGCAGAGCGTCACCATTTTCTTCGCTTTCTGTATTCTTCTTTTGGTTCCCTTAAATTTCTCGAATCCCTATCCTCCTTTTTAATGCCCTCTGCTCCCTCCCAAATCATTCTCTGTATGCCTAAAAACCACACCAGAAAAATTCGGACTGAACCTTTTAGAGCTAAATTCCAACTTTTGATAGTTTTCAGCGATTTTCTGCGCTTTTATTTTTTACAACTTTTGTTTGAAAAATAACATTAAACTGAGTTTGCGTTACTTAGCATTGGTGCCTATGTATGTAAAATGGCGGCACGAGAGGAGAGGTGGAATGGTGGAACATTGTCTGTCTTCAGTGGTGCATTCTGCATACACCCACATACGCGCCACCTCACACACACATACATATGCAGACGCACATGCGCACTTTGCCATGGATGTGCATGTGCGGTTACACATGCCTCAGACTGCACTGCAGACTTTTCTGCTGTCACGCCCCTGCGGACTCCATTTTGTGGGGATTTCGCCATGACTAAGATGATGATGTTAACACAAAAACGAGTCCCGTCAATCTTCAGATTTATGCGCAAATGATGTGATTAGAGCTGGATCAAAACGCGCAAATCACCCACAGCTGAGTAAACACAAGGCATCTGAAAATGGTTAACTCTACTTTCAACTCGGCAGCGAATTTGACACTTGTTAAATAATACAGCAATTTATTATAAAAGTTATAAGTTCTAAATAATTTTTCTTGATTTAAAAACAAAAAGAAAATTTTTTAAAACTTTCAATTTTATTTGTATAAAAACTTTATCTTGTTATTTTTGATGGATGATTTTATTCTTTATTTTTACATTTAGGATTTTAAATTTTACATTTCTTATCAAAACTCCGGTGAAATTTATTTTGTTCATTTTCTACAAATTTTATTGATAATTTATAATAAATAAATAAAAACATTTTGAAGTAATGAAAAAAATAGACAGTTGAAAATTTTTTTTTTATTATTTATTTTGATATTTTTATTTTTTGTAGTAAAATTCAGTCTAAATGTATTTTCCTTCCCTACGATTTATGATTAATAAATATGCAGTTTTTGTTACAGATTATTTTAAATTAAGCCTTTCTTTTGATAATTTTTTTAATGAGTGCAGAATATGTTTTAAGTTTCATAATTACTCGATCTAAAAAATGTTTTTATATTTTTTTTCAGTAAAAATATTTTGTAGAAAAAGGTGTACCATTTTTTTAAATAAATGTTTGACTATTTTTAGGTGTAATTCGTTTTGCCGTACTTAATAAGTTGAACGGATACATTTTGACTTAACTAAATAGTTAAAATTTGTTTTTTGTTTTTTTATCTTAATGGTCAGTATTTTGGGTTCAGTTTAAAGGTTTTTCCGTCCTTCTTTTCCTTTTATGTCTCACTTATATCCATTTACAAATTATACAATTTAAATGCATCATCAGCTAAAAATGTTTTTTATATTTTCTATCCTATTTAATGTGGTTAATACAATTTAGATGCAAATTAATATTTTTATTCATGTTATTTTTTCTGTTTCTCATTTGCATTGATAAATTGTTTAATGTTGATCATTTTTTTACCAAACGTCGGAGAGGCGTGTATTTTTTTTTTTATTTGTGTTTTTTCATAATTGTGTATATATGGACTTTTTTTTTTCAGTATTTCTGATAGAATATGCTTAACCTTGCGAACACTGTCACGCATGAATGCACACGTGCAGCAACTCAGTACAAAGCTGTAACATAGCATGCTATTTAATGCTTCGTTAACCCCTTGATGGCTGTTAGTTGTAGCCAACCTGAGAGTAATTTGGGTTTTGTGTCGGGTGAAGCCACGCGTTGTTCAGCTGTGCAGAGGAAGGGTTATTGGGTTGTGGATCACTGGTTGGTTCTCCAAGGTCCTTGATACGCACCTTGCTTTCCAGGCTATGGTTTGTATGTGTGTGTTCATGCATGGTTGTGTGTTTGGGTTTGACTTATGGGATGTCAGATGTTGGTTCAAGGCCTGACATAGATTTAATTACCAGTTTTGTCGTTTTAGTCTTGTCCTCTGACCCCATTGTGATTGCTATTTGGAAGATTAGGCACTTTTCTGCTTCCAAAGATTTTACAGATTTGTAAAATCTTTGTTTTGTTTTTTGTTTTTTTTGTTTTTTTTCCCATGCTACCTGTATTTTTTTTTTTCATTCTCATTTTTAGCAGCTCCTTTTTCCTCCATTATAGCACTCCTTCACTTCTCCCTCCATTATTTCCTTTCAACTCCCCCGACCCACCTGCTGAGAAAGTGACGCCCAGACACAAATGCCCCCTTATCCCGTCTTATTCTTTCCGTCCCTTTTTTTCCTGTCTGACCTTGTTTCGCTCTTTCCAATTTTTTTTTTCCTTCACCTTACTTTCTCACTCCAGTCTTCACTGCATTGCCTTTTATCTTCTGTCCACTCCTTGGTTTCGCCTGTCATTAAGAATTTACTAGCATTTTTTTCCATCCTTTTCTATTTCCTGTATCCCTCTCTGTATAATCTCCATCATTCTTACTCATTCTAATTTACATAACACTATCTTTTTCCTGTTGCCATGCTTTCAAAGCTCTTTTTTCCATCTGACCTTTAAGGAAATTTGCAAGGGGGACATATTTAGGGTTGCACAGCCAGTCTGTACCCATTTTTCATGACATTGGTCTTTGAGTAATGGTGTATACCTGCCTCTGGTCATTTGTCTGTTTCTTGTTCTTTTTGTTTCACCAAGCAGCACTTTTATTGAGAAGGTTACACATGCAGAAAAAGACTAATCAGCATCTTGTTTCCATACTGCAACTTTTATCTAAATGCTATCTATCTTCTGTTTTGCTTATTGCAGCATCAGAGGGTTCAAAACAAATACAAGGTGAGATGCAATGTCTTTTCATACAATTTCTAAACATATTTGAATGCTTTTATTCTTCTGCCCTGGGGTCAAACCTGGTTTAGTTTAAAATCTGCATGCTAAATTTGTGCACCAATTTTGTATTTGCTGCATGCCCCTTGTAAATTATATTGTAGTCTTTTAGATGTACCCATATACTTAATTGAACCCCCTTCTTTAATAATATATTTTATATTTGATTTTGATACCGCTCAACTTAGACAACTACATAATTACCAAGAAGAAGGAAAAATAGATTTCTCTCTAAATAGGTGCAACCAGGTGTCTTTAAAAGTTGAATATGGTTTATTTGTTAACCCCCAAAGATTAGGCTGTCCACTTAAACAAGGTAATGAGAGCAACAATCACATAAGCAATCAAGAGGCCGAAAGTAATTCTGGATGAGCTGCAGAGATCCAGAGCTCAGGTTGGAGAATCTTTCCATAGATGTGGCTTTTATAAAAGAGCAGTAAGAAAGAAGCCATCATTTGGAGCAGCGATCTACTCTGTGCGGGTTGGGCATGGCAAGGAGTTCCTTGCTGTGTACCTTTATCAATAGTTGGGGCTCCCAGCCTGAGAAATGTTGAAGAACCCTGATTTAGATGAAGACCAGAAGATGGTCTAGTTGAATTAAACTCAAACTGTTTTGCCATGTCTCTAGTGATAGATATGAAGGACAGGTAGATGGATATTGCTTATTACAGGCTATTTCCTAAGAGAAAACCAGTAGGAGGCTGCAAAATATTTAAGACTGGGGTGGAGGTTCATTTTGCAGACTGACATCAACCATAAACCTACAGCCAGAACTATGTTTAAATGGTTTGATCAAAGTATGTTCATGTGTTAGAATGGCCTAATCAAAGTCCAGACCTAAATCTCTCTGAGAAATAATGGAGTGAGACTAAAAAAATGATGTTCACAGATGCTCTCAAAGTACAAATGAATGCCACAATCTCCTGATGTTTTTTTGGTAAAATAAGGAAAATATATATGCTTTTTCTTAATTTGCACTTGGAAGAAGGAATGATGCACTACTGTGCGTTGAAAAGTTCCAGTAAATTTCAAGAAAGTTTGTGATTTTTTTTTTTTTTACATGACTAAGCGATATTTAGTTGAAGGGGGTCAGAATAATTTTGCAAAACACTATTTGTCTTCTTCCTGTTCAGCCCCAATCTGATGCCTTGCTCTGAGTTCATACACTGGAGCTCCGACACATTGATGTGTTTCGATTTACAAAAGAAACTAATCTTTAGCTGTTTTTGGTTCCATTTGTTATTAACTTAAACATTCATGCAAAATGTCATCCTTTGTTCCAGAAACGAAACCTCTCAGCAACGTTGTCTCAGTAAGGATCACTTCTCTTCCCCTCCTCATCTCCATCATCATGCCGCTGATCACTTGACTCCTCCATCCTCTTGGCTGTTCTTCGCGCCGATGGACCAATCCCTCAGACATTTAAAGAAAGAACAAAAACTAAGCTAACAGACAACAAACGGCAAAATGCAAACTCTACCAGAGTAAGCTAATTCCATCAATCACCATGTGGTTGCAGATCCAGTCAGGAGCATGTTTTCTCCTGTACAGGGGACCACTGTGACTCAGGGAAATGACGCAGAAGTGCAGCAAAGCATTTCTTCCTGTTTTCTTGCCCTACCAATTGCCTGTTCAGCAGCTAGTTGAACAGAATATTTCCCATTAACTTTTCTTAAGTCTGCATTCCAGTTTGAGAGGAAGAACCATGCGAATCATTAGGACCTTCACTGAAGTGTTTATATATATATATATATATATATATATATATACATACACATATATATATACATACACATATTTTGTCTTATTTTTCTACCTATTTTGATCACTTGCATTTGAGTGCAGCCTCTAGTTTGAAAAGTGGCCAAATAAACATACTACTGTAATGAGAGGCTGAGGTTGGAAGCTTTCCATTCCTTCTGTGATTTTCTATGAAGACTCGTACTTTAAGCCTATTACCTTCACAGCAACATAAATCAGCTCTACTGAAATCTCAAACAAAATGCATTTTGAAGGGGCAACAGGCAACATTTGGAGAAGAGCGAGACTGGGCTCCTGCGCCCCCTGCTGGGATCAAACTGGGTTTTACTGGTTGAACTGGGTTGGACATAGAAAAAGAAACTAGATGCCAAGCTTGAGGTTCTGTTTGGTGTTAACTTGAGCCTGGAACTGGTCCTCTTATTCTTACCAGCCAAATAAGTTCCTCTGTGTTTCCAGCATTCTTCCTGCTTTGTAACCAACTGAGGAAAACTGATTTATGGGTGAACGGATTGCCTTCAGAACAATAAACGGTGTGCACATAAGCTTTCTAATTTTTCTGTCTTTACATGGTATTTGGTCTGATGCGTGGGCTGTGGGCAAACGTACAACAGTTAAACCTAATTACAAATATATTAGGCCTATATAAAACAGTTGTTTACCTTAGTAACAATCAGTCTGTATAAATTAATTGCCAAAATAACACAACCTTGGCTTGTGTATCAGCTAGAAAGAATTTATTTTCATACTTATGTATTTCTGTATTATTTTATTGGTTGTGATAAACTGGAGCCTGTCAAAAAAAGTGATTGGAATATTTTTTTTATCACCGTTATTATTCACCATTGAACAACTTGCAAGATTAATTTTAGGGTTTCTATCTGATATTACATTGAATTTATTGATGAAATCTAGTAACTAATAACATAATTTCTGAATTTTCTTGTTTTAAAAACATGCTTGTTAGCACTTATTTTTCTACTTTCCTATGGTGAAAATCTTTTTTTAATCCTTGTTATTGTAATATATATTTTTTTATATTTGCTTTGTTCAACAATCAAATTTGGATGGCAAAATTTGTGTCTTTAATTTGTTTTTTTTTCATCAGACTTATCTCCCTAAAACAGATAATTTCTAAAGATTTGTTTTTGTGTCCTGTACAGTTTGAGTTTTTCAGTCCTGTAACGGTAAGATTTCTGGGTTTTTCTTTTTTTATTTGTTTTTGCTTTCACATTTTAGTGAAGGATGTAGCATCTTCTGTGAAGAGCCAACTGCAATCTGAGCCCTTTTCTGTGGCAGGATGACAAATAAATACGGTTGCATTCAAAAATCTCAGTCTGTTATTTATTTTATTTTTTTTCTTTATCTAAAACGCATTGATTATGGCATGCAGCTGCAGGTGTCTGTGACAGTTTGTAGGCAAACACACATGAGTTTATTTGTGGAACATGCACATTAAATGTTATACACAGCAGCATGGAGATAAGGGGACTACAGGGACTTAAAATGACCTTGTGGTGTGGGAGGCCATTGTAATGTGAGTAACCCAGTGGAATATTGAGCTGCATTTTTATCTATGGGCGGCTAAAGACCGATAAGACCCGGATACCCAGCGGACTCCTGCTTTTAATAGACTCTTGAACATCATTCCCAATAAGGCGACCTTAAAGTTATTTTTCTATCAATGTGGGACAGAAGTTTAATAATAACCCTCAAAAAGACAATCTTGGTGTATTAAATATAGAAGTGTACATCCAAATAAGCTGTAAATGTGTTTCCATTTATATAGGCTGTAATGTAGAACGTCTTGTGAAGCCACAGAGGCAATTTCCTGGATAATAGGGCTAATGCTCCTATTTCATGGTTTATGATCTCTTCTGATGACATGTTTGTCACTGTTGTTACATGCCGTCTCAGAGCTGCTTTGCTTCTGACCTTCGCATATAAATTTCTAAAGGCCATGTTTTTATTCTTCTGCTATAAACATGCAGGGATGGATGGGTTCTTTTAAAACTGCTGTATAAAAATGTGGACTTTAAAAGCAGCAGGAATCCACCTTCCTTTATGTTCCTGTTCAACTTTGAGGCTTTTTAAAAAAAATTTTTTTTTTTTTTGGAGCCAAAGTGTGCAGATCTTTTTATGTCTGTTGTTTGATGCAGGATTTGTTTTTATCCTTCTCTGCAGACAGGAAATACTGACTTGGTTTTATCACATGTTGTGTACTTGCAATATTTCTTTGTAAAGTTTAATGTGTGTAAATGTAACAGAGCTGGAACCGAAGTCAAACCCACAACATAAACTTTATAACTACTCACAATGCCAACGTAGATAAACTTAGAAAATCATACATTCCAGCAAAGTTTCCTCCAAGGTTTTCTGGGAATACAATAATGAATAAAATAAGATTTAAAAATTTTATCTATAGTTTAAATCTCCACAAACCATATTGTAATTACTCCTGTTGGAGCCAAAACAGCAGACGACTGCCTAAAAACAGAAGCTTCTTGGTTTAATTTGCAAATGATCTTTGCCTTTACACTTCATTTCAGCAAATGTTTTTCCAACTGTATGTGAAAGCTTATTACTTGAAATAAGTTTATTTAATCAAGTAGTAGTTTTACTATTTCTTCTATATTTATTATTCTATAATTATTAGGATGGTGGCATTTCTACCAACCTAAAACAGCTTAAATGTCAATCTCCCAGCGTTGTCTGCAACTACCATTTCAATCTGAAAAACTCACACAGAGAGAAAAGATAATTAGAAGAATTTTATTGATAAGAAGTATAGTCTTTGGCGCTCAGGCCTCGGCAGGAACATTCATGCTGAATTATGCTTTAACATGCATAAGTAGATGAATGAGAACAGGGATGTTCCCCCTGGCCTGAAACTGGTGGTGGTTTAGTTCGAGCTGGTTAACGAGGTGATCTGCTTGAGTTGAATTGTGGGACCAGAGACTGAGGGAGCTGACACCAGGGCTTCACTCAGACTCAGGATGTAGAGGTCCTGCTTGGTGATGCAGGTACCATGAACTGTCCATGATGAGCAAGCATGAAGCGACAGTGGAGAGGAAAAACTCCCCTTTGGGAAGAAACCTCTGGCAGAACCGGGCTCAACATAGTGGTCTTCTGCCGGACCAATTGCAATGAGATGAGGGATGGTGATGACTGGGATTAATACTCTCTGATGAGGTAGGGGTAGAAGTCATGTCATGGAAGACGACTCAGCTACGATGGCGGAGGAGGGGTGGAGGTGGGTGAATTGTCGTCTGAATAAAATCTGACATTGCGTTTGCTGGATAGCGGGCTGAGACGGGGATTTGAAGGTGCTTTTAAAGTGAAAGCAGGATGCTGATTGGGCTTCGTGGTGGAGTAGTTCGAAGCTGATTGGCTTGCGTCAGACGGATCAGCTTCTGATTGGATGGAGGTAAGTCAGAGTTTCTTCAATTGAACTTCCGCTAGAGCTTCATTTTATAAACTGAATTTTATTATCTACAGAGTTTGGTAGTTCTTCACTTGTTTGCTCTGCAGCAGCTTTGTGAGAGTTTAATGTTCAGCTGAAAAGAAAGTTCTTAAAACAGAACTAAGGGGGGCAACAGGGGCCAGTACCCCTGCAGAACTTGTCCTGGCCCCTGTACTATAACTGAGTGGTCGCTTGGAGCGATTTCATTGCTTAGCTTTACACTTTGAGATTTTTACTCATAAAAATGTACATGCTGCACCATTAACTTCCTCTTTATTGGAATATAATATTTTTTTTATCTGCTAGGGTCTGAAAACTGCCACCCTGAGAAATTTGGTCTAGAACCGCATTGAGCAGAGTTATAATCAGATGGATACACTGTAGAGGTTCTTTTCTGACATTTTGGATATTTGCACCCTGCAAAAGAAACTTTCTCTGGCAGTTTAAACTCAAAGGTATTGTGCGAATTTTTTAAATGATCTGCCCTCTCCATTTGGATAAAATAATGCACATGCACAATCCTGCACCCACTCCCGACAGGGAACACCTACTAAACACGTATGAGAGCATGCACAAGGCCATTTCTCCTCGTGCTAACTCTGTTTAAAAGTTGCTGTTTGCATCGCTCGTAGTTTACTTTCCAGAAGAAGATTTGCAATTTTTCACTATGTCAGACTTAACATAAAGACGAGCACGTAGGATGGCCTTACGTTAACATATCACCAGAATGATTGACAATCAGGAGGACCATTTATTTTGATGATAAAAAGAACATCCTCCACTATACCTTTAATATGATTGTTCCATTTCACAAAGCATCTTTCGCTTAGAATAGTAGGATGGACCAATCATGTAAATTATCAAATAGGTCTACCAAATAACCATAAACTGAATGTAGATAGCCGTCTACACTGAAAGTGGAGAGGTAAAGGTTTATTGTATAAACTTCTTTTAAGATGATATAAAGTATTTTTTTTAGGTTGGAGATGTGCCTTTTGAAAAAAAATTTATATCTTAGCTTAAGCTTCCAGTTTTCTGTTTGCTTTTCTTTTTAAACTCAGGATAGAGACTTATCATTCAGATATTATTAATTTATTTTTCACAAAAAAGAAAAACAAACTGCAGGAGCCATTCTACGTCTAGTGTTAAAAAAAAAAACAATCCTTGTCTCTTTACAGCTATGGAGGAATTGTTGACGTAAGATCTTATATTAGGGTAATTTATCTGATTTATGTCAAATAAAAATATCATAAATTCATCACAATGAAGCTATAATATGTTACTTTTCATCTGTTTTTCTTTTTTTCACAACCACAGAAGCCATTTTAAAGGTTTCAGCAATATGTGGTCAGAAAAATTACTTATGGGTGGAACCAGTTAGAGAGGATGTTAAAACTTAAGCCCCACCAGTCTCTCCAGTTCAACAGTCCATGAACGCTTTCAGTCGTCATCCCTGCTTTCATCTGCAGGTTTCTAAACTAAATAGCATTTTGCATCAGGAAGTAGATATAAAACACAGTTTGAAGCCTCCAGTTGTCTCAGTCTTACTGCTCTGGACTTCATCTTTCTCTATGTGGAGCTTATTTTTAAGGTTGAAAAAGTAGAAACTCTGTGGAGGGAAATATTTTTCATTGTTGAAAGAGTCTGCACAAATGTATAGACTAGGCTATGAATTTGTTATTATCCTGAGAACCTTTAAATCCTGGTTCTGAGATTAAGTAAAATCTCCAAAATCACAGAAATGCCTCATCACCTCCTCTCTGAGAACTTTGGATATGAAGCAATATGTACCTCCCAAAATAGTCCTTCGAAAAGATGAGAACAAAGTCAGAAAACACAAAGTCTGCGTGGCAGAATGAAAAACTGATCTGAACAGATCTTCCCTTTCATCATTCAAAGAAGATTCTTGTTTTGAAAGAGACTCATTAAAAGCATTCGAACCAATTGGTATTTACATGTATTTATTCACAAATGGCAGAGAAAATTATATTTGTTTATGTTGTGATTGGTTTAGTTTTGTGGCTTTAAAAAGCACTGTTCAAATATTGTTGCAGACCAAACTGTCCGTGTGATAGAGATGCTAACGGATGCTAACGGTTCTAACGATGCTAAGTCTAAATCAAATCACTATTGCCTAAAAAAAGACCTTTCTCATCAAATTCAGGTCTATTTCAGCTCAGTCACCCCTAACTCTGAATCATTGTAAGTTAGGTTTGCAGACTAACCCACCGTTTCACTAAATGACTGCATGAACATTTATTCCGTTAGTCTTTTATTTAGTCTATTTATCCATCCTTCCATCCATCCATTATCTCACAGGCTTGTCCCAATTGGGGTCGCGAGGGGTGCTGGTGCCTATCTCCAGCTGTCAATGGGCGAGAGGATGGGTTAGTCTATTTATCATCAACTCAAATTTGAGTCTTTAAATATTTGATTTATTATTTGATTACCCCTTAAAGCTGCTATTTCGTTTTGAAATTAGTCAAAAAGGACTTCATTTTATTGATTGTCTAAATTAAATTAAATGAACACTGGTTAAAACCTGTCAATGAATCAAATAACATGTTTTATATGTCTTTTTAACAACTGAATTGCCACATGTTTATTTCTGTATTTATATTAATGTTTTTCTTTCTAATAAATTTCACTTAAGTTGATTTGGATAGATATTTCCCATCATTTCAGTGAGCAGTAATATTCTTTCCAACCAATTTCTGTTCCTTTTTTCCTATATTTTAAACCATTAGTTGAAATGAAGCTGTTACAACATAATGAGTGAGGAAAAGCATAGGTAGAAACTGAGAGTTTTGGTTTTCTGAATAAATAAAACAGGCAGTTTGTTTATTCTGATTTTCCTAGCCATTAGCACAGGTCAAAATATTAGAATATCTCAAAAATCGACAGTGAATTTTTCTTTGTCACATAAAATGCGTCCAGTACATCAAAAACAAAATAAAAACAAAGAAAGGATGTACCTCAAGCTGTGTGTTTCCTGCATAGGGCCTGTGGAGCTGGTTGACAGTTTCCTTTTGTATCTCTGCTCTTTTCTTTATGTTTACATCTGTCTCCTTGAACCCCAGTCGGTCTCGGCAGATGGCCGCTCACACTGAGTCTGGTTCTTCTGGAGGTATCTTCCTGTTAAAAGGAAGTTTTTCCTCTCCACTGTCGCTACAAGCAGGCTTAGTGTGATGGATTGCCTTCGAGTCAATGAGTCGATGCAATAAACTGGTTCTCCCTAGATAGAAAACTTTGAACCAATCAGACTTTATGATCTGGTTGAATTGTAAAGTGCCTTGAGATGACATGTGTTGTGAATTGGTGCTATAGAAATAAACTGAATTTAATTTAATTAAAAATATCATGGCTTTGTATAATACATCTGCATAGGTTTCCTAGGCATCTGATTGGTCCACAGTGTTCTGAAGTCCACAGTTGACATAGCTATCTAGCAGGATTTTTGAGCAGGCCATGCTTTTTAAAGCAAAGGTGTGAAAATCAGCTTTAATGAGCACAGTTCTAACAGGTTTAACGGGCCAGAAAACTCTCCTGACCTGAAGATTTATGCCTTGCTGTCATGAGGATATGAGACACCAGACCCAACAATGCAGATGACCTGAAGCACCCTGGACTTGATTACGCCTCAGCAGTTTCAGAGAGTGATCACTTCCAGGCCATGCTGCATTGATCCAGTAGCCCATACAAGTGTACACTAGACAGAACAAAATACTGAGTACATAGAAATGAAGGTAGTTTTTAAAGGTATATATATATATATATATGTGTGTGTGTTTAAAAATCCTTTTACATTGATTTCATAATTTGGGGGGTTTATTTTTAGACACTTTCTGGAAATTTTAAGACAAGGCAAGTTTATTTATATACCACATTTCAATGGCAGGACAATTGAAAGTGCTGTACATTAGGAAAAAAAAGGAAAAAGAACAGTACATCGCAGGGGCATAGAGCAACACAAGTACTTAAATTTAATGAAAGGAACACATTAAAATTAGAGGATTGCATTGAAATGATTAAGAAAATGGAAAATTAATATAATACTGGAAACTACACTTATAATATGCATGGATGAGAATCTTTTTGTTAGGAATCCAGCTTGTGTGATCCAGATGAGGTTATCTATGTGTGCTACAAGCTTGGTGGCATTACAATGATGTATAGTGTAGACGCTCATTTTATACTTATTCTAATCATAAAATAGAGGTGCCATTTTTCATTCAGGCTGTGGGAAATTCCTCAAAAAAGTATTATTTTCGAATCCAATTATTGTGGTATGAAAGACATGAGATGAGATACAGATGAAATTAATTTGATTATAATCCACCTCTTCTTGGTGACGCTTTTGAATATTTCTCTCTTTTTTTTTTTACGGTGTTGCAACTTGCAGACAGTCCCTAAGCATTTTCAGAGGAGCGAGCTCTGCATAGGGTCCAATGTCATTCTTCCAGCGCGATAGAAGACTAATTTTCAGGAAACTACGGTTGTAGCTCACTGTCTGCCTTGCTGTGGTTGCGGAATGGTTTCTGTTTTGTAGAATAAACCATCCACTGACGAGTTATTAATCCAGAACAGCCAAATCTGTCAATATATTGCCAACTTTACTGCAGTCTTGAGTCACATCACATTGAATAAGACTGACTTCAATTGACACATTACAGACTGAACCTGGGATTAATGTTTTGCATTTTTTTTTGGAAGGAACTCTTTCCTTTTGGACTACAACTTTAAAGAAACTCTATTTTCCACTTTGGAGGAGTTAAAGGACTAATGCCTATTTTTGTAGGATAATTCATTTTAAAATAGTGTAATTTTAATTTGGGTAATTGTAAATAATTCTAACTTTATATCCTGGTGTGGGCTTTTTTTAATTGCACTGTGTTTTTCATTCTCTCTAGAACCTAGTTTCTTTAGTTCTCTAACCTATTAGAATCTTGTCTACCCTTGACGTGTACATACTCAGTAGTGGGTTACATAAGTATTGACAAAGTTTTCTGGATTGGAGAATGAACTCTGATAATCAGCTGCCACTGGGGAAGGGGAGCGCTGACATTAAACCTCCCGCCTTGTCAGATGTGTCCTCAGACTGACCCTGTTTCTGAAGAGCTAAACTTGTTATCAGTGTGAAACATCTTTGTGTTATGATTTTAACATTTTACATGGAGATGGATCTTTTTTTTTTTTTACTTATAATGAGGTTTTTTGCTTTTAGGAGGTCAGGTTAATCATTTGACTTATACTTTGTAGACATGAAGGAGTCTGCTTTTCAACTGATTTTACCTTTTCTATTTCCAGGGAAACAGAATTGGTAACTGATAATGATAAGAACTAAACATTAAAATTCTCAGCAAATACATCTTTTACCATGAAAAGTATCATCATGGGGAAAAACGGTTAAAATATCTTTTGTAATTAGATTTGTGTCTAATGTGATTCCAGGGCTCTATTCATTTAACATTGTCCACTGGCTTGATTGCAAATGTGCATTATTTAGGTATATATATTATTATTTTAGTTTTTTTTTGTTTTCTTTACATCCATCCATGCATCCATTTTCTTTACACGCTTAATCCCAAGTGGGGTCGCGAGGGGTGCTGGTGCCTATCTCCAGCTGTCTACGGGCGAGAGGCGGGTTACACCCAGGACAGGGCAACACAGAGACAAACAGGACAAACAACCATTCACGCACACACTCACACCTAAGGAGAATTTAGAGAAGCCAATTAGCCTAACAGTCATCTTTTTCGACTGTGGGAGGAAGCCGGAGTACCCGGAGAGAACCCACGTATGCAACCTTTGTGTTATGATTTTAACATTTTACATTGAGATAGATCTTTTTTTTTTTACTTATAATGAGGTTTTTTGCTTTTAGGAGGTCAGGTTAATTATTTGACTTATACTTTGTAGACATGAAGGAGTCTGCTTTTCAACTGATTTTACCTTTTCTATTTCCAGGGAAACAGAATTGGTAACTGATAATGATAAGAACTAAACATTAAAATTCTCAGCAAATACATCTTTTACCATGAAAAGTATCATCATGGGGAAAAACGGTTAAATGTCTTTTCAATCTAGGATGTGATTCCAGGGCTCTATTCATTTAACATTGTCCACTGGCTTGATTGCAAATGTGCATTTTTTAGGTATATATATTATTATTTTAGTTTTTTTGTTTTCTTTACATCCATCCATGCATCCATTTTCTTTACACGCTTAATCCCAAGTAGGGTTGCGAGGGGTGCTGGTGCCTATCTCCAGCTGTCTACGGGCGAGAGGCGGGTTACACCCAGGACAGGACAACACAGAGACAAACAGGACAAACAACCATTCACGCACACACTCACACCTAAGGAGAATTTAGTGAAGCCAATTAGCCTAACAGTCATCTTTTTCGACTGTGGGAGGAAGCCGGAGTACCCGGAGAGAACCCATGTATGCAACCTTTGTGTTATGATTTTAACATTTTACATTGAGATAGATTTTTTTTTTTACTTATAATGAGGTTTTTTGCTTTTAGGAGGTCAGGTAAATTATTTGACTTATACTTTGTAGACATGGAGTCTGCTTTTCAACTGATTTCACCTTTTCTATTTCCAGGGAAACAGAATTGGTAACTGATAATGATAAGACAGATAACAGTCATCTTTTTCGATTGTGGGAGGAAGCCGGGGTACCCGGAGAGAACCCACGTATGCACAGGGAGAACATGCAAACTCCATGGTAGCCCAAAAAAATATATATATAAACATTTTGCATATAAGATAAAAAGAAATGTTTTTGTCTGTCAATATTCTCCATCCCGAACCCCTCAAGAAGAAATATTTCTGTTTCACCTGGTTTTAATGTCATTAATAATCTTCTTTAAAGAACCTTTGGCTATCCAATTAATCGATTCATCAAAAAAAAAATTATCGACAGACTAATCGATTTGCAAAATAATTTTTGTTTCTGCCCTAATTTTGTTATCAGTTGTTGCTCGTGTTGCTCACATCAAATTATTGGTAGGGACAATTAAGTTGGTTTAAAATTTTGGTAGGAACATGTCCCTATGGTCCCTATGCAAACCTACGCCCATGGAAGCAGTGATATTATTTTTTTGTTGGGAGACAAAGGCCAAACCAGTTCATGTTTGAGAAAAAATTCTTTACTCTCTTCCAATATTTCTTGCGGGTTTTAACTTCAACCAGATGTGAGGGGTCCTCACAGCTTGTTAAGCTTGTGTTATCCTGGACATGGAGTTTGGTGTCTTCAGACTTTTTTGAGAGTTTTTCCTCAGTATTTAGTTTTTTATCCATCACCACACAGCTGGGTGGTGATACTTGTTTCTGTTCAGAGAGACTAACTGATGCTGGTAATCTTTTGTGGAACAGGGGTGAGTCCAAATTGGGCTTCAATAAGGAGGAATCAGCTGTAAAACCTGAATGTTCTGATAAGCTACTCTGTATTTTCTCTTGTTGATCACTTGAATGAGATGAATAATGAGATTGATTAGGTATAGTCACAATAACAGGATTAAATGTTACAGTTTTAGACTTGTTCTTTATTTCCACCACCTCTTTGTTGGGACTACTAGTCATTATTGTTCCCTTCTTAAGTGGACTGTTCAGTATTTTCACTTGTTTATTACCACAATCAGCTGGCTGTTGATCATTAGTCATCAAGATGGTTGTTGATTCATCTTTCAGATCACCAGTCAACGGTGATTCTGTGTATAAACCTGACCCAATAACTATGTTTTTTTGAGAAGAGGTGTTCCTGCAGCACAACCTTAATGAGGTCCCACCACATGAATCCACTGACAAGCTGTCTTTGCATTGTCCAGGGTAGTCAGTCTCTGAACTATGATTAAGGCTCTCCTCTTTGAACTTCTTATCATTAACTGTCGGTGGTGCACAGTTGCCTGAACATTGACCGTCAATATTGCTGCCAGAAGCAGAGCCTTGTTTTTCTGAATTGGAGGCACAGTTGCCTGAACAGACACAGTAATTGTTGCTAGAAGGGGAGGTTTGTTTTTCTGAAAGAAATTTTGTAAATTTTTCAGGGTTGTTTATCTCTCGTTTGGGGTATAATGATGTGGCTCTCAACCTCCTCAATGGGTTTGTGTTGTGAGGATTTCAGCAGTGTCCAAAGAATCACTCAGCTTGCTCATATCTCATTTTCCTTTTCCAAAAGAAAAAATTTACTGCGTGGTTCACCAAACATTTAACATTGCGCCAATGTTTTTTCGATAGTATCATATTCAAAGCTGTATCTTGCAGTAAACTAGATCAAAGTGAGGTCCAGACACCACATATCAAGACTAGCATTCTACTTGTCGACATCATTTCTCGAGCATGAACAAAGAGGGTTAACCAAATATTCCATGTTCTATCTCCTCAGTGAACCATATCGATTAATTCATTTAGAGGAGCGGTCTACCGCATTATGTTGTAGCTTGAGATCTCTATGTGCTATTCCATTACTAGTAGAAAGTCTAAGCCACAGTCTGTGAGCATAGTCGAATGTCCACAAATTAGTCACACTACAATTCCCTGTAAAGTCTTCCAGATCGATATCCAGTTTTTCAACACAAGCATGTTTTTTGGTTTGTGGTGTCATGAATTTGTAAGTTCTCATTGCCTCATGGGCTTCAAGGACATAAGGGCTGCTGCTTTCGAAGTTAGACAAATGGTCCATGGTAATAAAGCTGTGTTTAAGTGCAGCTGCTGAGGTAATACGTTCTTGCGGTGTAGGAACTAGCATTTGCTTTAGAAAATCTATGAAACTTAGTAAATCCTCCCTTTCAATGGGGTCTTGTGTTGCTGGACGGATTTCCAGCAGGTCGTCCAAAGAATTCAGCCTCAGCTCTGGCTCATACTTCTCAATTTTCCTTTTCCAAAAGAAAAAATTTTTACTGCAGTGTGGTTCACCAAACATTTTAACAATTGCCGCCAATGTTTCTTCGATAGTATCATATTCAAACAGCTGATCTTGAAGGTAGAAATAGATCAAAGTGAGGGCTAGACACCACATATCAAAACTAGCATCTAGCTTGTCAGACATCATTTCCTCCGGAGGCATGAAACAAAGAGGGTTAACACAAATATTTTCCATTAGTTCTATCTCCTCAGTGAAACCCATATCGATTAATTTCACTTTTAGAGAGGAGCGGTCTACCAGCATTATGTTGTCAGGCTTGAGATCTCTATGTGCTATTCCATTACTATGTAGAAAGTCTAAAGCCACCAGTACCTGTTGAGCGATAAGTCGAATGTCACACAAATGTAGTCCACCACCTACAATTACCTCTGTAAAGTCTTCCAGATCGATATCCAGTTTTTCAAACACAAGGCACTGTTTTTTTTGGTAGTAAAAATCTTCATAAAACTTCACTATGTTGTAGTTCTCAGATCCAAGCGCTTTGATTTTATTCAAGATCCTTTTTTCCTCACTTATATCGGTATTGTCCTTGTCTATTGCTAATTTTATTACAACAGTCTCTCCAGTTTCTTGGTTTATAAACTTGGTAATTATCGCTGTTCCTCCTAAGCCTAGACTTTCTTTCAAGAGGTATTTGCTTGTTTCGGATTCAAAAACCAAATCATTTGTTGAGAAAAATTCCGACCAAAATGTTGCACTATCAGTTCTTAGTAGCCCAAGTGGAGTCAGGATGGTCTCAGTTTCATCTTTTGGAGATGAAAAACTTACCCTATTACCTGTCGGTGATGCATAGTTGCCTGAACAGACAGAGGAACTGTTGCCAGAAGAGGATGTGGATCCCAAACTTTGTGGTGTCATGAATTTGTAAGTTCTCATTGCCTCATGGGCTTCAAGGACATAAGGGCTGCTGCTTTCGAAGTTAGACAAATGGTCCATGGTAATAAAGCTGTGTTTAAGTGCAGCTGCTGAGGTAATACGTTCTTGCGGTGTAGGAACTAGCATTTGCTTTAGAAAATCTATGAAACTTAGTAAATCCTCCCTTTCAATGGGGTCTTGTGTTGCTGGACGGATTTCCAGCAGGTCGTCCAAAGAATTCAGCCTCAGCTCTGGCTCATACTTCTCAATTTTCCTTTTCCAAAAGAAAAAATTTTTACTGCAGTGTGGTTCACCAAACATTTTAACAATTGCCGCCAATGTTTCTTCGATAGTATCATATTCAAACAGCTGATCTTGAAGGTAGAAATAGATCAAAGTGAGGGCTAGACACCACATATCAAAACTAGCATCTAGCTTGTCAGACATCATTTCCTCCGGAGGCATGAAACAAAGAGGGTTAACACAAATATTTTCCATTAGTTCTATCTCCTCAGTGAAACCCATATCGATTAATTTCACTTTTAGAGAGGAGCGGTCTACCAGCATTATGTTGTCAGGCTTGAGATCTCTATGTGCTATTCCATTACTATGTAGAAAGTCTAAAGCCACCAGTACCTGTTGAGCGATAAGTCGAATGTCACACAAATGTAGTCCACCACCTACAATTACCTCTGTAAAGTCTTCCAGATCGATATCCAGTTTTTCAAACACAAGGCACTGTTTTTTTTGGTAGTAAAAATCTTCATAAAACTTCACTATGTTGTAGTTCTCAGATCCAAGCGCTTTGATTTTATTCAAGATCCTTTTTTCCTCACTTATATCGGTATTGTCCTTGTCTATTGCTAATTTTATTACAACAGTCTCTCCAGTTTCTTGGTTTATAAACTTGGTAATTATCGCTGTTCCTCCTAAGCCTAGACTTTCTTTCAAGAGGTATTTGCTTGTTTCGGATTCAAAAACCAAATCATTTGTTGAGAAAAATTCCGACCAAAATGTTGCACTATCAGTTCTTAGTAGCCCAAGTGGAGTCAGGATGGTCTCAGTTTCATCTTTTGGAGATGAAAAACTTACCCTATTACCTGTCGGTGATGCATAGTTGCCTGAACAGACAGAGGAACTGTTGCCAGAAGGGGATGTGGCTCCCAAACTTTGTGGTGTCATGAATTTGTAAGTTCTCATTGCCTCATGGGCTTCAAGGACATAAGGGCTGCTGCTTTCGAAGTTAGACAAATGGTCCATGGTAATAAAGCTGTGTTTAAGTGCAGCTGCTGAGGTAATACGTTCTTGCGGTGTAGGAACTAGCATTTGCTTTAGAAAATCTATGAAACTTAGTAAATCCTCCCTTTCAATGGGGTCTTGTGCTGCTGGACGGATTTCCAGCAGGTCGTCCAAAGAATTCAGCTTCAGCTCTGGCTCATACTTCTTAATTTTCCTTTTCCAAAAGGAAAAATTATTACTGCATTGTGGTTCACCAAACATTTTAACAATTGCCGCTAATGTTTCTTCGATAGTATCATATTCAAACAGCTGATCTTTAAGGTAGAAATAGATCAAAGTGTGGGCTAGACACCACATATCCAAACTAGCATCTAGCTTTTCAGACATAATTTCCTCCGGAGGCATGTAAGGGTGAGGGTAAGCACAACTATTTTCCATTATTTCTATCTCCTCAGAGCAACCCATATCGATTAGTTTCACTTTTAGAGAGAAGCGGTCTACCAGCATTATGTTGTCAGGCTTTATATCTCTATGAGCTATTCCATTACTATGTAGAAAATTTAAAGCCACCAGTACCTGTTGAGCGATAAGTCGAATATCAAACAAATGTAGTCCATCACCTATAATTAGATCTGTAAAGTCTTCCAAATCGATATCCAGTTTTTGAAAAACAAGGCACCGATTTCTTTTGTAGTAAAAATCTTCATGAAACTTCACTATATTGTAGTTCTCCGATCCAAGCGCTTTGATTTTTCTCAAGATCTTCGTTTCCGCATTCGTGAAATCCTCCATCTCTGTTACGAATTTTATTGCAACAGTCTCTCCGGTGTCCCGATTTATGCACGTGGCAATTTGTCCAGTTGGTCCAAAGAACAGGCTTTCTTTATAGAAGTATTTGTTTGTTTCAGATCCAAATACCGGCTCCTTCTCCAAGTCCAGATCTTCACAAAAATTTGACTGCATTTTGAAGAATTGAAAATCATCCAAAGTTTCTTACAATTATTCAGTCTGATCACCTCCGAAGCTAGTCGGAACTGATCATATTCTCTGACACACCCACATTCTAATGTTATGACATCACCATAGACCAACTCCGCCCCCTATTTTGGGGGATGGACAGGAAGGATGGGGGAGGGGAGGTGTTGGGGGGTGGGTGGGGTTATGACATCACAAAGGACCAACATTCCGAAAGGCTGTTAAAATTAGTAACTGGTTGTGGTGTGTATGTGTGTGTGGCTGTGTGTGTGTGTGTGTACTCTTTTTTTTATGACTTCACGGGGTCTTTAGTCTGTTTACACAGTCACATCATAAGGACCTACCCCCTCATGGGGACCTAAAACCTGGTCCGCATAAGGATGATGGTTTTAAAAGACTGTATACTCTATTGCAAAGTTGCTGGTGAAGTTTTAGCAATGGCCCATAACACATGCCTTTCCGTCACGTGTGTGTGTGTGTGTGTGTGTGTGTGTGTGTGTGTGTGTGTGTGTGTGTGTGTGTGTGTGTGTGTGTGTGTGTGGTTTTGTGACTGCGAGAAAGGTTTGTGTGTTTGTTCTCCTTTTTTCTTTGTAAACATTTTGTGTGATGACCTGTTTTTAAACAGTTTTTACATTTTAAAGCACTTTGCGTTGCTGCATGCTGGAAAAGTGTTTCATAAATAAAGTTTGGTTTGGTATGCTATTCTTATTTGGTCTCAACATCCCTTGAAGTGGAATAGGTACTAAATTTTGCAATCTATGGACTTTTTTGTCTCTTTGTGGTTTTACTAATTTTAGTCTGTTATCAGAATTGGAATTAATAAGGATCCTTGATAAGAGGAAGTTGATTTCACAAAGCTAAGTCAGGGAGAAGAATATGGTGGTCCTGAGGTGCAAACCACTAAAACATTAAAGCAGCACAATTATAAAATTACAAAAGTACTACAAAATTAAAGAAAACACAGCAAAATTAAAGAAAGCACTACAACATTAACAAAAGACTACAACATTAATAAACAAAATGGTCCAGTAGCCAAATAGTTGCCCTGGTCATCTCAGCTCGGCCAAAATGGCATGCCTAACTTCAGGAAGTGGAGAGTAATTGCCTCTTCTATGTAGCCCGGCTTCTTTCAAAGGAGTCTTTAGCCCACATTAAAGATTTGGATCCAATTCAGGAAACAGTTTGGCCTGCATGGACCTTCGATACAAACCCCCTTAACTAAAAATTGTAACTTCATGCCTTCAGTCACGGATTCAGTTTTTAACTCGTGGCACGACGGAGGGATCAAGACTGTAAATGATCTTTATAACAATAATATCTTTTCATCCTTTGCTGAACTTTCATCAAAATTCCAACTGCCTAATTCTCATCTCTTTCGGTTCTTTCAGGCCAGGGATTATGTTAAAAAGGTGTTTCCACATTTCGGTAATCGACCCCCTGAAACACTTTTAGATACTCTTCTACAATTAGACCCACAACGGAAAAAAATTATTTCATTTGTATATAATTCTATCAATAACAATAATACTTTAAGACCTGCAGCCTTTGTTAAATCAGCATGGGAGGGGGAGTTGGGTGCTGGGATGGAGGAGGAGCAGTGGGAGGCTGCCAAGAATTTAATTCATAAGTCCTCGATCTGTGCCCGGCATGTTTTAATACAGTGCAAAATATTCTATAAAGCGCATTACACAAACGCAAAATTAGCAAAGATTTACCCATCAGTCAGCGACATTTGCAATAGGTGCGGACAGTCACCAGCTAACCATACCCACATGTTTTGGGCATGCCCAAAGCTAACCGGATATTGGGGTAACATTTTTAAAACACTAAGCCAAGCATATAATCAGACAATTCTCCCCAATCCGTTATCGGCTATATTTGGCATCCCTCCAGACCCGGGCCTTTCGCGTTCTTTGAAACGAGCCCTATCCTTCACTACCCTTTTGGCTCGAAGACTTATTTTACTTAGATGGAAACTAAACGTCCCCCCGTCTCATGACTATTGGGTCAGAGAAGTTCTTTACAACCTGAAGCTGGAAAAACTCAGATTTTCACTTAAGGGTTCCTCCAGTAAATTTATGGAGACTTGGAGACCTTTCCTATCTATTGTGGGTAACATGACCTTGCTACCTGATTCAGAAGAAAATTAAATTATCTGCAGGCCTTCTCATTGATATCCAACCCATTTCTTTTCTTTTTAACCGATATATACTCTTCGTCTTATAATTTATTTATTTATTTATTTATTTATTTATTTTTCATTTGTAATTTATTTGTATACTTGTTTAACTTAATAATATGTACGCTTAAGTACATATTTATTTATTTACTTAGTATCAGTATTATTATTTTTATTTTTTTCAATTTCTTTTCCTGCCTCCTTTCGAATATGTGTGGATGGATGTGTGTGTAAGTTGTGTTGTTAGAAACTGCTATAGGGACTGGATCCCAGCAGGCTGTTTGTCCTGTGCTTGGACCTGGATGGGGTGCGTTTGGGGTGGGCTGGGTTCTGGGAGAAATCAGCTTGAACTTCTTTGAAAACTACTGTGTTTTCATTGTTTGTTGTGTGTCAAGTTGTAAAATTCAATAAAGAAAGTTGGGGGAAAAAAAAAAAAGGAGTCTTTAGTGAACGCATACTAACGGACACATAGTGGTTGGTCCTGAGCATGTCCAGTATCACCTCATGTATGTCCGAACTCAA